TCTTTTTTGTGTCCCCCCCCCCCCCCCCCCCCTTGTTTGCAGGGAACGAGAGGTCGGCACGTGTGAAATTTGGCTGTTTCATCACAGATGGCGCATCTAATTTTAGCCGGGGCCTCGGAGGGCAGATTGGAGGGATTGACGAGTAAAGTGGGGGCGGGGGCTGCGGTGGCGCTGCCACGCTAATCTGGCGGAAAGCTGCTGTCCGGGTGCCAAAGCCATGGCCTGGCCTATTAAGGAGACGCGTCTGCCAGCGCGGACGAGGGGGGGGTGGCACACGTCGCTCTCTGACCTCCCGTGGCCTTTAAAATGAATCGCCGGCTTCACAAGGAGAGCAAAAATTGTCAGCGTTAGAAAAGGCAAGCGGAGACGGACGGTGAAGCGCTCCAAGCGCGCACGCTGGATGGATGCTCCGTGACGACGTCGTGTGAAAGAGCGTTCATTTGACGCTCAGAAAGAAGAGGGCGTCGCCAACTGAAAAAAAAAATGACTCGGCCAATCACGCGAGCCCCAAAATGCCATCGCAATCATCTCGTTTGCCCTTGACCGAAGGGGGGGGGGAAAGAAGGCATCAAATGAATCTTTTGGCCAGGGGGCTTTTATTTGAAGGCCAAATCTTCCAGCTCGACTCCAAATACGTCTTTTGAAAAAGGCCGCTTTCCGCCAAAACGCTTTGTCTTAAAACGGACAGCCATTTTATGCCCGGTGATATCAACGCGCGCTGGTCCGGGCGGCGTGCGTGCGCGTCACACGCGGGCAACTTAAGGCTGCTGTGCTTTGGTCTCCATGGCAACTCGGACGGGAGGCGAGAGGATCTTTTTCGGGAGCAGCTGGCAGACGGTACGCAAGCACAGCAATGCGTGCGCGTGAAGGCGCCGGGTAATGGACGCGCATGCGCCGAGTCTTCAGTGTTTCATTCAAATCCACATCCATCACAAGCCCCCCCCCGACAACACGTGTCCACTGGCGGGCCGGTGAAATTTCTTTTGTTGGCTGAGGCGCTGACGTCCAGTCGGCCCGCCTTTGTCCCCGAGCGCCTCGGCCGCCTTGTTTTCCTCCGGCGTGAATTCCTCCGACTGCCCGCGTTGCCGGGAGGAACTGCCAGATGCGTGACGTCATTTTGCCCCCCCCCACCCGCAACCGGCGCGAACAGCAAAAGCCATCAGGGATGTCATCACAGCAGAAACAAG